GATTCTCATCGGACATTAGTACTTTTACGAAGACATATTAATTCATCGTGTAAAACCTAGCGTGTGTGGCCAAGGACAAGGCTAACTAGGTTCTCAACGGATCGTATCTACATCAACTCGTAATTAATTCGCTCATCATGAACCCTCGATAAGATATCAAGTAGGTTCCAGACTAGAAAGAAAACATTATATTGTTTGTGAAACTTCTGTTTATAAATCATTGTTTCTAATAGCTATTTTTAATAATTATTGTTGTAAATTGTACTGTTGTATGTACATTAAAACGTAGTTATGTTAAAAACGGTGTGTATCAGTCTTGTTGGCAAATATCGTAAACTGACTAATATGTCGGCATTTATTTAAATACTAAATCCAATGTACAATTTAACTACTAAAATTAAATTATTTAACTCGGCTTTGGACTATTCGAAATTCTAATACGTAACATGTATTTCATATAATTTTTGTACGATAATTTTGTGATATTAGTTTTCAAACTATTTTAGGTTTAGCATATGTTGTATTAGTGACCTAAGAATACAACTTGATTTTGTTATTCAGCGTTTTGTAAGCACACTTAATGGCATTTCTAAATAAAATCGTGTAAGTGTGAGAGAAAAGAATTAATTCATAGAATTTATGCATAGAGACAAATACATTAATAGCATAATTATCATACTACGATATATTTTATACCTTAAAGCTATAGGCGTAAGTCTACTGAAGGGACTGAACAATTTAAAATATGTTTCCATGCCCCTCTCCATTCTCTATTACCTAAAGCTTACTTGTGTAATAATAACTGTCAACGACTTCTGAAAAATACATAAAACTACAAAGGATCATTTCAACATATTTTCCATTAACGCCTCAAATCAACAACACAGCAGTTAAACTTGCGCCTGTCCAGGTTTCAAACACATAAATAATTTAACCCTTATGGTTATTTTCACAACATAACGTTTTGTTCTGATTCTGAAAACTATGAAATTTTGTGGAAGACTCGTCTTGAAATATGATTAAAACATTCAACAAATATATCAAGAATGTATAAAAAGTATTGATAACAAAAATATTCTTAAAAATAAAGTATACGGAAGTATATTTGTACACTATTAGGTTAGCTCTCGAAGAACAGTTAGTCATATAGAAGATCATTTATTCAAATATTTTAATTGCTTACCTGAAATTTATCTCTCTTAACAGCGAATCCTTCTGAGGGAACATTTTTCTAGAAATACTCATAATTTGATTGTTACTGATGTCAAAATACATCAGTTTTTTAAATTTAGCAAATGCCTCTTCATCAATGTATTTTATATAGTTTTTAGAAAGTGTTAGTTTCGAGAGGGAATTCGAATTAATCTTTTTGAACGTTTCTGGAACTAAAGTCATGTCTGATTCGGTTACTGTAAGCAACGTCAGACTATCTAGGGCACTGAAAGCTTCCCAAGACCAAAGTTGCATGTATTTACTTCTGATGACTTTCAGCTCCCGGAAAGTGTCTTTCAGTTCGGAAAACATAAATTCACTGTCCGCACTTTCTAAACCTTGCACATAAGATTCCTGGATCGTCAGCTTAGTAAAACAGCATTGTAGAGCTAATTTTGGTAGAAAGGGTAGTTTTGCTCCAATTAGAACAAGTTTATTCATACTGTGTTCTTTATTCGCCAGTTCTGGAAAATATTTGTTTATGTCATCTAGTCGAGTGAAGTTAGTGCATTCAAGGGCTACAAAAGCAATATTATCTTTACAAACACACTTTTCTGGTAGAAATTTTTCATTTAAACATCTGGAGTTAAAATGTGGCGTATTCTGGAGAACGAATGTGAAAACACGTGTCTCTTGAAAGAAAGTCAGAATATTCAGAAACAGGAGACCAAACCAAAGATGCATTTTTTCGGAATGTTTTTCCAGGATAAGTACCTAAGAATATACAGACAACTTTAAACACTATTTTATAATAGAACAAAGAACGCACAAGAAATACGACTGCAAATATTTGAACAATAGTTATGCTTTTCAAACGTTTTTACGCTGCATAAAAAATCTTTTTGTGAAGAATCACAGTAATATTTATTATATAAGTTTTACAACTTACACTTATAAAGTTCCTGTTTTAGTTTTAATGTAGATCTGTTGTTAACACACAAGATTAATTTTATCATTTTGTCATAACTTATGGTAACTTGTTATGTAATAATCCAAAACTGTTAAAAATTGAAAAGACTGCCTGAATTGATACTTGGTTTAATAAATATTAAGCAGTCACTTTAATTACTAGTCGCATTTTCCTCGATTCCCTGAAATACAAACAAAAACAATTCATGCTGATAAAACATTGTTTTACATAATATTTTCTATAATTAAGGAAACTTCTACAGACCAAATATCGTTTATATCTCACCCCTACACACTTTCGTTTTTAATACTTACTTGACAAAAACACAGAGAAAATGTAAAATTAGAAACGTTATAACTAAGAATATGAATGATGCGTAGTACGTAGTCTATATCTGTAGCGTCACTGTGTTCTTGATATATATGTGTTTAATTTTTACGACCTTCGCTTATTATCCGATATGTATCTCTTTCCACACCTGTGGTTTTTTCCTGAGACATCATCACCTGCACAAAGAATGACAGAAAACAAAAAACTTACTTTGAGAAAAAACTAAATAATAAAACTAGGTGGCGCATCCTTACTTCTATTCCTGTTTCTTAATTTCCAACAAGCATGTAAAGTATAGGTAAAGTAACTGAACCGAATAATTAACGTTCTGATTAATACATTCATAGGTTCTGCTTTTGAAATAGTTTCAGATTTATGACCAAAATGTGATTTTACACAGCACAATTTTTTCATTGTTATTTTGTTTGTTCTCTTTTGTCTGTATTTGGGTATTGTAACCCTTCAGGGTCAAGTACGTTTGACCTCTTCCTCCCCCCTGGTAGATGGTGGCTGGTTTCTGGATAACATCATTTTAATTACTACATGAGTGTCAGATTATTCCCGCACTAACTCTGACCCCTTTCATGGCAATGTCCATGTAGGTAATTTCAGTAATATTCATGCGATAAACACACTTTCTCTTAATTCGTTATTGCGAAAGTTCTGCACATCACGAACAGTACAACATGTATTCATCACATTTTCATTAATTTTAAATCCCCTCGAAAGCATTACCCATATATACCCGTTTAATGCTGTCGTAGCAGCTTAAAACCAATGTTCGTTTTTAAGTCTAGTGTTTGGTGGCTTTAATAAATGTTTATCTTTAATGTATATATTAATTGGGGAAAGGTACTTAGGGCTATCTTCATCATGTATGCAGTAACGATCTAGCTCACATAATAAGTCATTTTTGTGCCAATTTTTCTCAAAATATTTTAGGAATCCATAGGTTAGCGTTTGATGAATTTTGATGAAGTGGATCTCGGTACTTTGTATGCTGTAGTTAGTAATGAATTCTGTGTTGTTTGTAATTTACTTATATGTTTTGGTGCTACGTTTATCCACACCGGACATGCATATTCAATTACAAGACGTATCTGTGTTTTATATATTCTGATTATGATGTCGGCTGATATTCCTTTGTTTATGCCCGTTAGACTCCTAGCATAATTTGTACGTTGCCAAACTTTTGTTTTAATACTATCTATGTGTTTATAGCCCACGTTAATTTAGAATTGTAAGCTAAACCTAGAAACTTAGCTGATGTTGTGGTTCTGGAGAAGTGTTCCATTCCCATATAGCTTGGGTGGATCTTCTTTGAGTTTTATGAAGACTACCAATTGATTTTGGGGGACATTTATTTTAATGCGGTATTTTTGGCAATATTCCACAATTTTGTTTAATTGCGTTTGTAAATTTGTTGCTGCTATTGATGGTGTGGGCGCACTTTTCCAGACTGTAGCAGCAACCTGTGATGAGTATCCTTGATTTGGAACCTTTAGGGGGCTTGTTGTTAACATACATAATGAATAGGATAGGGCTAACCACACCTCCTTGAGGGACACCTGCCTCAGGAGTAAATGACTCCGAGAAGACTCCCTCTACATTAACTTTACATTTTCTGTTTTCCAAAAAGTTTGACAATCAGCGAATAATACCGTGCGATAGTTTCATTTCTGACATGCGGAACCTTCGACCATTGGGTCTTACAGTATCGAATGCTTTCTCAATATCAAGAAAGCATGCAACATTCATTCTTTCTTATTAAAACTATCTATGATAACTTCAGTTAATCTTACTAAATAGTTTGTCGTTTCTCTGAATTTTCTTAATTCATTTTGAATTCAAGGTAATTTTAATGTGGTCTCCAAGAATGTGGAGAGTCCGTTACTGATTTGACATATCAAACTAAAATTGTGATTTTCAAACTAAACAGCGTTTCATGCGTTCGAAGTTAATCGGCTAATCAGAAACCCCAATATTGTTTAAGTACAGCCGTTAATAATTTTGATCCACTGACCAGAGGGGGAGAGACTGCAAACAGCATTCGCCACCAGAAAGGTTGTCTGGCTTCTTAGACAGAAGAACCGGATGGACTATCGCTTTTACAAATTGTACACAGCTGAATGGCTAAGTGTATTGAACGTCATCACATCTCTAGCCTTCGAACGTTCGTTTCGCAGTCAAACATGTCATCCACTATAAGCAACACCTGGCCTTGATATGTCAAACAAAATTTTTATGTTTGGAATATGTTTGCAATGTTAAACCAACCAAATTTTTAGAACTCTCAACAACTTAGGTATAGACCGTTTACCATAAATTATTAACTCAGGTCTTAATGTCTTACTTTATATGCTGACGGTTAAGTATACTTTATTAGAAATAAGTTATAGGTTACGTGCTATCCTTTGAACTACTTCCTCCATTGTCACTCATATTCAATCTAATGGTCTTGGTTGTGTACTATTGTCCAACAGTTTCTTCTCCTACAAGCGCCTGTAAAGGAAAGAGAGATCAGTCTTAGACCACATATCTTGAAACATTTTCCACAGTTTATCCACTATACCTGCACATTGGCTTCAACATTCATTTTGACCATTTTTAATGCTAGGGATAGCTAGAATGTCTTCAAGTTAAAGGAAAGGAGAGTAGTGGTATTTGAAATGTGTCAAATGTTTTTGCTTCTTTTAGTATGGAAAAGCGAAAATCTACTTCTCAAAATTTCCAAATGTTTCAGACTTTAGTGCGCTGGCGCAAATATTTACAAGTATCATACAGATAACAACCTTGAATAAGATGACTTTTTTTTTCGCCAGTAACGCAGTGTCATTGGTCATTCCCTTTGGTATTTCTAGGTTTTTTCATGTGTTGTTGGAGAATTGATCTAATGGAGTTTCTGTCGTTATCAGTTATGTAAATATATAGAAGTACCAAAGACTGTCTTCCATTTTCCTTAATTGGAGTCGTCGCATCGACGTGCATAGAAAACAGTACATTCTTGAAGGATTAGTTAGTTCTCTTAATATGGTTGATTCAGATCAGAGTGTGACTGAATTTCATTCTGCACATTCGTTTTTGATTGGATTGATTCAGATCGGAGTGCAATTGAATTTCGTTCTGCACATTCGTTTTTAATTGGATTGATTTCAGATCGGAGTGTAATTGAACTTCGTTCTGCACACTCGTGTTTGATTGGATTGATTCAGATCAGAGTGTGATTGTATTTCGTTCTGTACGCTAGTTCACTGAATAAGTGTCCTATTTTTACGTCTTCTTTCGACTTTCAAAGAAAAGTCTTGTATTTTAACCCTTTTTTCGATTTCTTTCGATCATTTAGATCCACTACGCAAACTTTTCTTGCCAAAACTCTAGTTGTTGCAACTTATGTAACTACTTGTCTTATACCAGATCACAATAACACTATCTGCAGAAATTTCATATCATTTTCAGTCACATATTGCTTGTAGTTCCATGAGTAGATGGTGTTTAAAATCTGTAACTATACGAAGTCACAACAACCAAATGAACAGGCGAGTTAAATGCATTTTTTAGAAGATGTTATGATACCAGAGGTGTAGGAGACTAATTAAAAGTGGGTTGGGCAAGGTTTATTTGACCGAGAGAAGCGGGGGATTGTGCGCCATAGGCCAGAGTTCAAGGCTCGTCTTAGGGCCTTGGAAGCTCTTAGATTCTGTATTAAATCTTATACATTCTCCTACTTTTCCCGAGAGTAATTCTCCTATTTTTGATGCATTTTTACTAGCTCAACTGGAAAAGTGGGGGAGGGGCTAGGACCCCCCGCTCCCTACGTCACTGGAAAAAAACCATCCACGTGGCCAGAGAAATGAATACAACAAGGATCCTAAATATTGGTGCATCAAGATTTTTTTTTCCATTTACATGAACACACCAAAAGGTCACAGCAGCAACACTAAACGTGATGCTTATATAACACATAATATATTTCTCGACTGATGTGAATTAAATTCAAAATCTGTGACCTTAACTAAAATACAACCACTAGCTGGTATATGCTACATGTATTTTACATACATTTAATGCAACATCTGGCTAACATGATTAATTAAAATTAAACCTGCCTAGAAGGTTTATACTGTTTAGTATTCTTCTCACTGTCCCTCACAGTCGTGACTGGAGCAAGAGATTAATCATGAAACCAGAAAAATCACGAACTGATGACGTTAATTTTCTTAAGCGAAAAATTGGATAAATTAAGTGTTTCATGTTGAAAAATGATTTCTACTTTTGATCTTCAATTAAGATCCATAGTCTAACAAATATAACTTCGAACTGTCGTCTAAAGCTGGCGTATAAAGGTAAAAAGAAAATTCGGAGCATTATCACTATTGAGGAACAAGATAGAACATTAAGGTCACCAAACTACACTCGCACAGAACAAATGTTATAACTATTCCATGTGAATCCACTGAGAATTCTCCCCCTGTAATTTCATATCTTTTTTTTAAAAAAATCACTGTATTGTGTGTGACTCTCTGCTTCGTTTGTGCTTTTCATTCATACCCCTGAAACTTCACGAAAGATTTTCCAGAATTTGCGAAACACTACACGAAACAATTATAGTGCCATAATTGATATAATATGAACGAAACATTTGGACATGTCTTTAAGTTATGCAATAGTTGTGATTTTTACTTTTGTAGTTCAAACCTTCTATTTTACTATCAAGGTTTGTTTCGAATGGAAATTTTAGGTTTTCAGGAGAAAACTACCATACTTTCTCCTATAATAAACGGGAACCCTAGGCACTCACCCTTTTTGCGAAGTTATACTTCTAAAGTGTTAAGGCTATTGTGAGATTAAATATACCTCTGAAGTGATAAGATTAATTATACTTATGCTATATTGATACTGTTGTAAAGTTAATTATACTTCTGAAATAATAAAATTGTTATAAAACTAATCATACTTTTGAAATAATAAAATTGTTATAAGATTAATTATACTTCTGAAATGTTAATAATGTTGTAAGATTAATTATACTTCTGAAATGTTAATAATGTTATACGATTATTTATACTTCTGAAGTGTTA